ATGTCACAAAGCTTTTTTAGCTCTGTTGATAATACGCCCAAAAGGCACTTCACCAGCAAGCCTCAGTCAGCCTGAGGCTCTCAGCTCTCGCTCTGTAGGTTAGCAAACAGCTCCCCCAGCAAATGCCCAGGAAGCAGCCCCACACTGCCAGTCCAGTGCTCTCGTTTCTGCTACATCTCTGGCAACACAGTCCGCTCCTGTGCAGGGATCTCGGGCCAAAGGACGCGTTCCATTGCTCCCTCTTCTGTCTTGCTGATTGTAAGGCCCCCCGCCCCGCCCAGCCTCCCTTTCTCTTTAAAGATGGCTCATTTTAAAGCTTAACAGGTTGGCAAACTGACCGATCCCACATTAGCGTCCCATACACCCTATTTGCATGGTCGAATGCCGCAGACCATACTTTACCTTATTAAGCTACCCCATCCCCTTGCTCACAGACACCTCAGACAGCACAGTCCCCACATTCCCTTGGTAGGAGTTCACAAAGCCTATGACCAGAAGAGCCACAGCAAGTCACCACCACAAGCTCTCCAGGGAGGAGTCGTTTGGGATGCCATCTGAGCAGAGTCGGATGGGCAGTGAGGAGTGGGCTATGCTCCTTTCTGGGATAAGGGTCTTTCAGGTTGAAGTGGCACTGGTGAGGGAGCAGCCTGGCTTTGCCTCCTGGGACAGCGACCTACTCATTTCCCAACTTGGGGACCATCGAGCAGCAGAGGTAGCCAGAGCGCAGTGAAGCCAGGCTGTGCAGCCACCAAGTGCCCCTGCCAAGTCTGGTGGCCCGGCCCGGCACTGGCCTCCAGGAAGCTAGGGGCTGGGGAGATGCTGGAGCGTGCCACTCAGCCAGGGCTGCCGGGATAGACAGGTGGGAGAGTGCCTGACTCTGAAGGAACTTGAAGGCCAATGTGACTGGACCCTAATCATTTTGGGGTGCTCACTAGTGGTAGGGGATATAGCATGTTTTTTATATTTGTTGACAATGGAATGGTAGAGGCACCGGACCTCAAACCCACTTACCAATTCTGTCAGTCTGCTCACAAACCATACTTCTAGTTTGTTAGCGGGGCTTATTAGAGAAGTTAGGGTACAATTCAGGATGTAGTTATTTGATCAGACAGGCTCCTTTGAAATGAATTTTCAATTGTGAATTATGGGAAGGGGTGTGTGGTGTTACATTTCAGATCAACTCTGAATTGAACAGTTCAAACTGCCATCAGCCGCACAGGCGTGCCTCTCCCTGGCCCTTGACACCCCCAGCCTGGCCACTGCCCTGCTTGGCTAGTATTACAAAGCTCTTTAGCGCAGCCAATATATGCTGGGAGGTACCCCACTCCTTCCTGGTCACCTGGTTCTGCTGCTACAGCTTCTTAGCATCTCACCCTATTTCTGGTATAAGGACTGTTTCTAGGTCTAGGAAGTTTTCAGCACTGGGACCTCACGTCCAAAGGACACGCTCTACTGCCAGCTTCCTGGTGGTAGTTGGGTCACCCTGTCGGCATCTGGGATAACTAATTTTAAACCTCACAGAATGTTAGAGTAAACCAGCCTCTAACAACCGCAGGGGGTCCATCCCTAGGCACAATTGTACAGCTATAAGATATAGAGATTGTAGTAAAGTCAGAAGATAGGAGAAAGTAAAATAAAGGAGTCAGACACATTTTATGGTAGCATGCTCACCTCGGCGGCTGTGATCTCACCAGTCAGAACGATGGAGGAGGCGACAAGACCCTATTTATTTCTGACCAAGGTCTATGTATACTTGGGGGCATGCAAGGCCCCGTGGCTACAGGTAACCACATATGTAACAGGAAGGGGTTGTACAATAGACATGCATCACAGGAAGTGCATGTGTTAGGGGTGTACACATAATAGGAAGGGGAGGGACTAGGTACACATGTGACAAGATGGCGGACCCTAGATTCAAGATGGCAGCCTAACCTTGGTCCTTGAGTTGCTGGACCTTATCTCTGGGCTCTCCCTCAAGCAAACAATCCACCATCCTTATCAGAAGGGAGTGGGCCCTACTTAGGGTGAGAGAGACTATAGGTTGATTGCTCTAGATGGCTGATAACCCTCAGGGAGGTTAACCCCCAAGCAGCTTGCATTGACTTCCAAGTGTACAGTCATTTACCCGTGGGATGCAAGCGGTGTCCTAGGTTTGGCATATATTTTGATTGAGGAGACAAACTGGGGAAAGACCCTTTTGCATCCCATAACAGAAGGTAAAACTGACCAATCCTCTGGTCAGAATTTCATCATTATGTGCAGTCCCATTCTCACAAGGCGTCAGACCATATTTCCATTATTAGCAAGCTATTCAATCCCTAGGAACCCTGGTGGTGTAGTGCTTACCAGTTAGGCTGCTAACTGCAAGGTCAGTAGCTGTAAACCACCAGCCACGCTGAGGAAGAAAGATGGGCTTTGCTACTCCCATAGAGCCCTCAGAGACCGGCGGGGCAGTTCTACTCTGTCCTGTGAGTCAGCATCTACTCAATGGCAGTGAGTTTTTGCATTTTATCCAATCTCTGCACAAGGGCCTCATTTGACCATCTCCACCATTTGGTGGTGTTTGGACTAAGCTGAAGCAGGTCAGGGCCCTGCACATCCCAAAGGTCAGCAGCAGAAGGCACCAGATAAGATAACCAGTGAAACCAGATGCTCTGGGTTCAAAGAAAGCGGCAAGGAGTGGACAAGCAATTCTTGGGGTTTCTGGACCCTGTATGCCAATTACCATTCCTCACACCACTTTAAAAACCTGAGCCGCAGCTGCTGAGCACGACTTCCCTGACCTGTTGGCCTAGGTCACTACGGAACCTCTTCCTGGAGCTCCCCCTAATAAAGCTATTTCTGTTATTGCTCTCCCTTGTCCTGTCTGTCTCCCTGTACCTCAGTTTTCACCTTTACAGGTGGGAGTTACAAGACCGTGGTGGGACTGGCCCCGTAAAAGTGATTTAGTTCACACTGAACTATAAGCGCCAGATCCCTCTTGCTCAGCTCGGTGGAGAACAAACTGTTAAGAGGAGTCAGAGGAGTGGAGGGGTGAAGAGTGGTAAGAACCTGAAAGGGGGAACTGAGAGGAGGGTGGGAGCGATGTGATGTGACTGAAGTCTTTTCAGAGGCCACACAGGCAACGAGGATGTCCACAGAAGAATGCTCCCGGTAGGACGAGCAGGGACAAAGATCCCCAACTGAAACTGGCTGGTTGATCAAACAACAAGCAGGTCTGGAACAAGGTCCCTGCCCCAGTTTCCTTCTCACTCAGGCACAATAAGACATGTCTGGATTATTTCCCACATCCGTGCAAAGGTTTGGGGCACTCTGTGCTGGCCAGGGTGGAACGCTGGACTCGGAGATGAAGCGAGGAAGCTATTTCCACCTCCTACTTTCTCAAGGGCACTAGGAGCTTCCAGAAGAGTTGAAAGGGAACTAACTCAGGAGCACAGTGGGAGAAGTCGGTCGTTCCTGCAGCCTCACAGCCTCTGTCCCCTGTGCCTCTGGTGCAGGGTGCCAAGAGACAAAGGAGTTGATGTAGTCCCTTCCCCTGGGCTCACCAGCACTGACCTGGGAAATGTCCTAAGGGGGAGAATAAAATGTGGGTCTCCGAGAATGGAAAAGCTAGGCTTCAAATTGGTCTGGTAACTGTTGGCGGTGTGATCTTAGATAAGTCATTTGACCTATCTCTGTTTCACAGAGGGGTGGTGGTGGTGCGTGTTTGTTTTAAGCGATTCTCATATAGTCAGCTTTAGCTTTGACACTAATCTGTGTGTAGAATTGCTTCTCATGGTGAAGCTGGCTTGCCTGTGGGGCTGTGCTTGGGGGCGAGGGCGGGCAAGAAGCGACCTTTTTAACCAGTGCGATGTGATCAGATGCCTCTCAGAGGACTTTGTAAGCGGAGAGCCTTTTGTCTCCCATCTCAGATCACAGCTGGGCATCCGAGCGTTTCTAGTTGAACACATTTGCCATCTAAGCACAGGACTGTGATGAGGGTTGCATGGAACCGCAAGTTTCACGCAGTTGCTTCAGAAA